TTATGTTGCCTTATAAAGTATGGAATCAGGCATCTATGCACACAGACATATACAGGGAGTGCAGAATTATTAGGCAAGTTGTATTTTTGAGGATTAATTTTATTATTGAACAACAACCATGTTCTCAATGAACCCAAAAAACTCATTAATATCAAAGCTGAATATTTTTGGAAGTAGTTTTTAGTTTGTTTTTAGTTTTAGCTATGTTAGGGGGATATCTGTGTGTGCAGGTGACTATTACTGTGCATAATTATTAGGCAACTTAACAAAAAACAAATATATACCCATTTCAATTATTTATTATTACCAGTGAAACCAATATAACATCTCAACATTCACAAATATACATTTCTGACATTCAAAAACAAAACAAAAACAAATCAGTGACCAATATAGCCACCTTTCTTTGCAAGGACACTCAAAAGCCTGCCATCCATGGATTCTGTCAGTGTTTTGATCTGTTCACCATCAACATTGCGTGCAGCAGCAACCACAGCCTCCCAGACACTGTTCAGAGAGGTGTACTGTTTTCCCTCCTTGTAAATCTCAAATTTGATGATGGACCACAGGTTCTCAATGGGGTTCAGATCAGGTGAACAAGGAGGCCATGTCATTAGATTTTCTTCTTTTATACCCTTTCTTGCCAGCCACGCTGTGGAGTACTTGGACGCGTGTGATGGAGCATTGTCCTGCATGAAAATCATGTTTTTCTTGAAGGATGCAGACTTCTTCCTGTACCACTGCTTGAAGAAGGTGTCTTCCAGGAACTGGCAGTAGGACTGGGAGTTGAGCTTGACTCCATCCTCAACCCGAAAAGGCCCCACAAGCTCATCTTTGATGATACCAGCCCAAACCAGTACTCCACCTCCACCTTGCTGGCGTCTGAGTCGGACTGGAGCTCTCTGCCCTTTACCAATCCAGCCACGGGCCCATCCATCTGGCCCATCAAGACTCACTCTCATTTCATCAGTCCATAAAACCTTAGAAAAATCAGTCTTGAGATATTTCTTGGCCCAGTCTTGACGTTTCAGCTTGTGTGTCTTGTTCAGTGGTGGTCGTCTTTCAGCCTTTCTTACCTTGGCCATGTCTCTGAGTATTGTACACCTTGTGCTTTTGGGCACTCCAGTGATGTTGCAGCTCTGAAATATGGCCAGACTGGTGGCAAGTGGCATCGTGGCAGCTGCACGCTTGACTTTTTTCAGTTCATGGGCAGTTATTTTGCGCCTTGGTTTTTCCACACGCTTCTTGCGACCCTGTTGACTATTTTGAATGAAACGCTTGATTGTTCGATGATCACGCTTCAGAAGCTTTGCAATTTTAAGAGTGCTGCATCCCTCTGCAAGATATCTCACTATTTTTGACTTTTCTGAGCCTGTCAAGTCCTTCTTTTGACCCATTTTGCCAAAGGAAAGGAAGTTGCCTAATAATTATGCACACCTGATATAGGGTGTTGATGTCATTAGACCACACCCCTTCTCATTACAGAGATGCACATCACCTAATATGCTTAATTGGTAGTAGGCTTTCGAGCCTATACAGCTTGGAGTAAGACAACATGTATAAAGAGGATGATGTGGTCAAAATACTCATTTGCCTAATAATTCTGCACTCCCTGTAAATGTAAATATAGATTATTGGTGTGTTCATTTTTGCTTTTATAAATAAAATTTATTCATAAGATCTGTAGACCAGCAATGTCTCTTTAACTACCTTGTCACTCCCCTTTGTACACCCCCACCCATATTCCCATTTAGAAATAGTGTTTCTGGGACTTTTTTTCAACATTCCAATTTGCCACCATGATGGACAGCTGAAACGAAGGTGGAACGCATAGTTGGAACGCATGACGTCATCACGTCGGTCACGTGACCGCATGGGATACACGAAACCAGGAAGTAACCAAATTTGAGCTGCAGACAGCTGAAGACAAATGGAATCATCTGTGGAACACCTATTGGGACTAATTGGGGGTGGTATATATTAGGGGATGTTTGTAACTAGAATTGTCTGCATTTATATTTAACACTGCTGTTAAAGATTGTCCCTGAGGAAGTCCCTAACAGGGAAGAAACGCGTTGGACTGATATTATTTACTTTGATGTAAGTAATAAATGCTTTTTTTACTCTTTATTCATACAGTTATTTTATTATTTTTTCAAATTTTTTTTAGTTTCATATGAGAAACTATTGAAGCAAGAAGACACACCAAGCACACTTCTTAAGGCATTTCTTGGGATGTTAAAGTGTGAGTGAACATTTGGCACTTACTCATATATCCATTTTACCACAGACAATATTGCACTATGCCATGTATTCCTTATTCCCATAGCTTGGAATAGCCCTATACCATATACTTACTGAATTGAAGATAGGAGGAAATCCTATATTGCTAAGGGAAGTTATTCTTTATTTGTTCTTTTCACTATAATCACTTTAAGTTGTAATTTTTTTATATCACTGTATGTGGATCTTAGAATCATAGTCATAAATTTACGAGTGTGTGAGAGATTCTATATATATTTCCCTATAAAAACCACACCAGTTCTGGGTTTGCTTTTCACAAGAAGCATTGCCTGATGTGAATGATGCCTCGCACAAAAGAGCTCTCAGAAGACCTACGATTAAGAATTGACTTGCATAAAGCAGGAAAGGGTTATAAAAGTATCTCCAAAAGCCTTGCTGTTCATTAGTCCACGGTAAGACAAATTGTCTATAAATGGAGAAAGTTCAACACTGCTGCTACTCTCCCTAGGAGTGGCCATCCTGTAAAGATGACAGCAAGAGCACAGCGCAGACTGCTCAATGAGGTGAAGAAGAATACTAGAGTGTCAGCTAAAGACTTACAAAAGTCACTGGCAAATGCTAACATCCCTGTTAGCGAATCTACAATACGTAAAACACTAAACAAGAATGGATTTCATGGGAGGATACCACAGAGGAAGCCACTGCTGTCCAAACAAAACATTGCTGCACGTTTACAGTTTGCACAAGAGCACCTGGATGTTCCACAGCAGTACTGGCAAAATATTCTGTGGACAGATGAAACCAAAGTTGAGTTGTTTGAAAGAAACACACAACACTATGTGTGGCAAAAAAAAAGGCACAGCACACCAACATCAAAACCTCATCCCAACTGTGAAGTATGGTGGTGGGGGCATCATGGTTTGGGGCTGCTTTGCTGTGTCAGGGCCTGGACAGATTGCTATCATCGAAGGAAAAATGAATTCCCAAGTTTATCAAGACATTTTGCAGGAGAACTTAAGGCCATCTGTCTACCAGCTGAAGCTCAACAGAAGATGGGTGTTGCAACAGGACAATGACCCAAAGCATAGAAGTAAATCAACAACAGAATGGCTTAAACAGAAGAAAATACACCTTCTCAAGTGGCCCACTCAGAGTTCTGACCTCAACCCTATTGAGATGATGTGGCATGACCGCAAGAAAGCGATTCAAACCAGACATCCCAAGAATATTGCTGAACTTAAAAAGTTCTGTAAAGAGGAATGGTCAAGAATTACTCCTGACCGTTGTGCATGTCTGATCTGCAACTACAGGAAACGTTTGGTTGAAGTTATTGCTGCCAAAGGAGGTTCAACCAGTTATTAAATCCAAGGGTTCACATACTTTTTCTACCTGCACTGTGAATATTTACATGGTGTGTTCAATAAAAACATGGCAACATTTCATTCTTTGTGTGTTATTAGTTTAAGCAGACTGTGATTGTCTATTGTTGTGACTTAGATCACATTTTATGACCAATTTGTGCAGAAATCCATATCATTCCAAAGGGTTCACATACTTTTTCTTGCAACTGTATAAGGTGAATATTTCTGTGACAGTAGTCACCATCACCTGGACCTTCAGGCAGACTATTTATGAAGGTTGCTGGACTTTTCTTATGTTTTAGTCACCCTGTACCCAATATAGGTGCAGAGTGTGTGTAATGTAATTGTTTATAATGAATGTGTGTATACTGTTAAAGGGAGACTATAGTCACCTGAACAACTTTAGCTTAATGAAGCAGTTTTGGTGTATAGAACATGCCCCATGCAGCCTCACTGCTCAATCCTCTGCCATTTAGGAGTTAAATCCCTTTGTTTATGAACCCTAGTCACACCTCCCTGCATGTGACTTGCACAGCCTTCCATAAACACTTCCTGTAAAAGAGCCCTATTTAGGCTTTCTTTATTGCAAGTTCTGTTTAATTAAGATTTTCTTATCCCCTGCTATGTTAATAGCTTGCTAGACCATGGAAGAGCCTCCTGTATCTGATTAAAGTTCAATTTAGAGATTGAGATACAATTATTTATGTAAATTACATCTGTTTGAAAGTGAAACCAATTTTTTTTTCATGCAGGCTCTGTCAATCATAGCCAGGGGAGGTGTGGCTAGGGCTGTATAAACAGAAACAAAGTGATCTAACTCCTAAATGACAGTGAATTAAGCAGTGAAATTGCAGGGGAATGATCTGTACACTAAAACTGCTTTATTTATCTAAAGTAATTTAGGTGACTATAGTGTTCCTTTAAATGTTTTGTCTGCTCTCCTGCACTCTTGATGATTGCTACCAACTAGGTGGATTTAGCTATGGTGCCTGTGTAGCACCCTCTGTTGGTAGCAACAGCAATATGCACTACCTGACTAGCAAGGCTGGTTAATTTGCATATATTTGCATATTGCTAATTCTGCATACTGGAGATATTTTTTCTGTTATTTGTCTATCCCACCCCCATTATAAATATGTAATTGTGTTATAATAAGTTGCTGTATGTTGTCTGCTAGGATTTGACTGTTTGTATTTTTATTGAGTTGTCACAGCAATCTTTATGTAATAATCATATGGGCTAGTCCTGAGAAAAAGTTTTAGAGTCTTTCGATCTGGTTGCTGGATCACTCTAGCCATGGGATAGATCAAAAGATCTAGACCTGAGGGCTGCAGTTGCCTTTGTAAAGGCAATAACTATAATCACTGTAAGCAGAGCTCCAGAGGAATAGGCAGAGGGGACAATACCTGCTTGGAAGGAAAGTTGCAGAGGAATAGGCAGAAGGAACGATCCCTGCCGGTAAGGAGAGCTGCAGCCTGTTCGGGTGGAAGAGCTCCGTAGAGACCCCAGTCAAGCTGCGGTGACTGGGGTTGAAGCGTGTGGCGAAACCGGCCTCGCCACGTGTCTTTGGAGGGGGCTGCTTGCCCGCCTCTTGCCTTTGGACTATGGACCAGACTTTATGTGAAGGTATTAACCCAGATAGCTATGCCATGGAGCCCATTCGTGTAGTTAAAGACTTCGGCTCCATGGCAATTGAACTGTGTGAATAGGATCTGAGCGCTATTTGGTAGTTTTGTGCGCTCAGATCCCAGCTATCTGGGGATATGTGACATGTCTGTGTTTTATGTGTAAATGTGACTTTATGTATTTTAAAGTGTTTTGTGTCTTTTTGCAACCATGTGCTTAATGGAGTCTTGTGTCTGTCCTGGGAGATAATTGAATTACTCTCCAGGATAGAAGACTCTGAAACTGGTTTGGGCCAGAAAGCCATGCTTCATTTAGTCACAAAGGACTTTCCCTTAACTTTTGAACCCCTGGTCTGATTCGTGCCATTTTTTAATATGTTGTTCCCCTGAATGGATTGATTATGAAAATGTATGTTTTATGTTTGTGACATGTATATTTTAGAAGTTATAAATATTGTGTAAAAACTGTATTCCTCTGCCGGTGATAATGAGATTACCCATTGTGTTCAGTAATCATATCACCTGCAGAGGGGAGGATTTTGTGTGGGAGTGTCTGGGTGTATTGTACGGATTGATTGGTTGTTTTGTAACGCCCTGTGGGCTGTACTATGTTTGTGGATTGGGAATAAAAGAGACTGTATGTGACAGTACAGGGAGTTCCTGTTTTAACCCTCAAAGTGAAGTGTCGTCTCATTATTGGGGGAAGGATTTATTGTATGCTGTTCCAGTTTGACTGCTAGTAGAGTAAACCTATTCGTATGGCTCCTATTCAACTGTCTACAGCATTCATATGCTTGAGAGGATTCATATGCTTCTCCGGTTCGGTGGTTGTGGTGTCTGCTGCAGTGCTTGGAGTCCTCAGGAAGCGCTAGGAGCATCCTTTAACGGAGGTACCCAGTCGGGGTGCCGGGCGATCCGTTACAAAGAGTTCCAGGGTCCTTGCAAGTGACTAGGAAGTGGACTGAGCGGAGGTACTCGGTCGGAGTACAGGAGCTCCGTCACATTCTTATAAGGATCTGTGTGGGGTGACTGTAATTTATGAACATACACAGAAAAATATATACGAACACACACACACTAAGACTCAAACATACACACAAACATTTACATAGACACAATTTTTATTTAATATGTTTTTTTTTTTCACTGGGAGCTTCACCCAAGCTTCCTTTTCTTGCCATGGAAGGGAGCTGTGTTAGAATCTCACAGTGATTTGCTGCTTGGATCTTCCATTCGATTGCCCAGCTCCCTGCAACTATATACTGATTCCGGAACTGGGTGATTTCACATCCTGACTCCAACATACGTGAGGGAGCTGCATGCTCAGTGCAGATCCCAAAGCAGCAAACTCGCTGCCAGCTCTGCAGCCAATTACTACAGCACCAGAGCATGACAGCGTTCCCTCTTTAGCATGCTACTGGGTGTAATGAGCAAGGAGGGTTGGAGTGATAGGAGTGTGGAGTGAGACTGCAGTATAGGTGAGAATGATGGAAGGTTGGCAGGAGAGAGCGATAAGAGGATGTGTATATAGAGGTATGGGTGGGAGTAATAAATGGATGTCAAAGAGTGGAGGAATGGGGAGAGAGGATAGGCTGGGTGAGAGTGATAGGAGAATGTGGATTGAGGCACAGGTGAGAGTGATAAGTGGATGGGGAAAAGGGAAGGGACAGGTGGGAGTGATAAGAAAATGGTAGGGGATTGGCAGCAGTGATAAGTGGATGGAGAGATAGAAGGATGTGTATAGAATGAAATAATATTGGGATAAAAGAGGGGTATTGGTGGGAGGATAGGATAGTAAGAGAGGGTTAATGGGAGAACTAGAAGTGGGGGGAGTGATGGCAGGATGGAGAGTTGGGGAATGATGGGATTGGGAGAGAAGGGATGGATAAGTTAATAGAATTGGAGGATGGGGCAAGGGTGGTAGGGAATGATGGTGGGGGAGGGAATTATTGGGAAGAGAGGGATGGTAGCTTGTGATAAATAATAAGAAAAAGGCATAAGGGGAATTGAAATTAGGTGGCACTGTGTCATGAATAAAGCACAGACCTCTACATAAAATTCAAGATTTAGCATGTGGGAGCTCTGTGCTACATTTACTAAAAAGAAGGCGATATCCATGCCTCTCATTGCTCTCCTATAAATGTCAGGAAGCTGCTTGAAATTTAAAGAGGCCCTGTGAAGAAATTACAGAGTTATTTCATTTATTTTACTTTTTTCCAATCGCTACTATTAGCAGTTTGTGCATTTGTTCATTTTTAAGACTTGTCGAAATAAACCGGCCTCACACCTAAACTCATAGAACTGTTTCTGGGCAGGAGTCTCATGTGCGGTCGGTCAAAATTGGACTTCCATATCAGGGGAAATGACATTTGGGGATTTTGTGTGTTTTGGGGTACTTTTCAAGTTTTGTGGAAATTGTGTTTTTTCTGCCTGGAGATAATTAAGTTATTACAGTATCTGACTCAATTATCTCCTGACAGAGAGGAGGGAATTATCTGTTTGTTTTGGGAGTGTCCCAGTTTGTCATTGTATTGTTATTGGCTGTACACTTTGTGTCCCTGTCCCCCACAAGGTCCACGTGGGAGTGCCCCATGCATCGGGACTTGCATAAAAGCCAGTGTGGCACCCATTAAAATCATTCATGTTACACCCTTCATCTAGTTTCGGCTGATGTTTGGGTACCTGTCTACTTTATTGGGAGAATCTACTTGGGAGACTGTCATTCATATGGAGAATCGTTCGACTTAGCACCTGAACTGCAAGCTATAATCACACAGGCTCAGGCAGTTCAGGAGGAAATAAACGAACGGGTAGCTGTTATACCAGCGTTCGTTACAGGCCTATACATGGAACTGAAAGTGAATTGCAACATTTAGGCTAAATTAGTAAATTTGCAGCTGAATATGTCTGGATATCTTGGTAATATTCCCCAGTGTCTAGACTGGATGTGTTGGAGGACTTACTGCTACTGGTAATGCCTTATTGTTTGTCCTCTATGATCTCTGTTGTGCTGGAGAAGTATGTTAGGATTTTGTCTTTCCTCACCTAATTTCTCTTTCTCTTCCATTTTGCCTTTAAGATGTAACTTTTTTTTTTCTTGTTTTATTAAATCAGGAAGTTCTTTAGCACTAGTAATTCTTGATTACGTAGCTTCATATGTGTTCATATGTGTACCTTGCTCTGACTTGTACATGTTGCTGTTGTGCTAATATAACTTTGCTAAGTGTCAACACTGTAAAAACTGCAGGGATGGCCACATACACTGGAAATGTGAATGTTACTGGAGTTGTTGTTTCTGTTCTCACAGCTGCACATTATCTGGTAAGGAAGTTCAGAATGCAGAAAGAGCTGACGAGAAAGGAGTTATAGGACATGTACTTGTATAGACTGTAAGCTCGTTTGAGCAGGGTTCTCTTCAACCTATTGTTCTTGTAAGGTTTCTTGTAATTGTCCTATTTATAGTTAAACCCCCATCTCATAATATTGTTAAGCGCTACGGAATCTGTTGGCGCTATATAAATGGCAATAATAATTGTAAGAGCCCCCACCAGCAGATTATGCAGAAACAATCCAGTGAGAGGGAAAGACAGAAAAATGAGCTGAGATATTTGTGCCACTTTAAAAACTTTAAGATAGCCAATTAGCTATAGGAAGACTTAAAAAAACAAATGGCATGGAAGTAGCAGTCTAACTTAAATACTTTATTTGTCAAATTGACTGCTCAGTGTGAAGCTGCCTGAGAAAGAAGATCTAGATAATCATCTGAATGAACTGTTAGTTAATTGATTATTTAGATTATATTGGAAAGGAATTTGAAGACAAAGTAATTCTGGTTTTATTAAATCTTCTAGAAAGCTACAATTCATGCATTAAAAACTGGAGAGACTCTATCTATAAAATAAGTTAAATTACTTGTTAAGAAAAGCAAGTAAGGAGAGCAGTATGTGGCAAAACACAAGCATTTGCAATACAACACTGATAAACATCATAGGAAACAAATTGGTTTATGACAACAGCCAAGGTAATATACATTTGCATGCAAAAAGGGCAAACATACAGAATGTTTTATTTGTGGAGGAAAATCTAATCTTGCTAGAAATTGTTCCAAAAGGCTTCCATAAACAAGAAAAAACTTATACAGGGAAGAAGAGAACTGTGATGGAATCCCCTCTACCTGTGGTTCATGGAGGGGCTTGGAGGCCCTTCTGCCAACAGACAATGGGCCGGTGTTCTGTCAGAAATCCAAACCACGTCAGAAATTTCGACCCGTATCATGTCCAGTGTAGGCTGGGAGCATGCGCAAGATCACCACGTCACTCCCTGTGACACTGCATCAGCTGGCATCGTAACTCTTCCTCAGTGAGCTTCTGCAAGGTAGGTAAGTAAAGTAAGTTTCACACTCAGATTATAGTGAAAAAAGTGATAAGTGCTCTCAAAGCACCTATTCACCAACAAGGAGTTCCTTTTACCTTGTGAACAATAGAACAAAAACAAGCTAGTAAATTAGGTGGACAGCGCTAAGAATTATTATAATAAAAGCATACATACAAAGGTAGCAGCAGATTTCGCAACCTTTGTATATATGATTTTATTATAATAATTCTTAGTGCTGTCCACCTAATTTACTAGCGTGTTTTGGATTCTGTTGATCATCTAAATTCAATCTGCACACTGAGCGCTTGACCAGGAGATACACTGAATCTCTGTGGAACTGGAACCACTGACCGGGCGTCGATTGGTCCCTCAAACACCAATCACGATACTATTTGGAGGAGATGTTGAGTAGGTGTCAATGGATACCAAAAACTTGAGAGTGCTCCTCTGGTAAGAGCTCCTTAAGTAAGACCGGGACAAAGCAGCTGCATGCATGAATCTCCTGACTGGATCAGAGAATAGCCACCACCTGGTGAAACTTCAACACGCTGCTGCTTATCCACAAATTCTCTGATCAGGGTACTATTTGGACAGTGGGGGTCTGGTTGACAAGCTGTACAGGGACACATAATATATGGAGGTACTGTCCAGGG